TAATGGAGATTAAGATGTCTGCTACTCGCTCATGCAGAGGGAGTGAAGAACAGGCACAAACAGTCTCCGGTGCAAGAGCGAGCCCAAGTAAATGTCTGTGTATGTCTGAGTATGTGTGTTTTGTTTGGAAGGGGCTAATAACATACACTGCTTTAAACCCATCCAGACCACAAGTAAAACATTTCACAATCTGACCGGTCTAGCTCGTACAAGATGCCTAGAAATTTAAAGGTTTTTCCACTATTTTTACAGGATTCATGCAAATATCCCATTTCCATGTCACTTTATAGTTCTAGCTGCAGGTCTGAGGGAAATGTGTCGTATTGTTTTTTAATTCACTGCATTTATTTTAAGAGATTAAGTTACTTGTTTACCTTTACAAATTAAGATTTTTACATAGAAAACACAGATAAAACTGTGATAAAAGATAAAATTCATATTACTTGGTTATAACATAAAATACTTGATTTAAAATAGTCTAAAATTAGCCTCCACTCGACAAACTACAAACAAGTAAAATGCTCTTACAGTATTAATGGCATCAGCAATACTAATCTATTCATATAATGATATTAACGATACTAGTAAACACTCAAAGTTGGCATTTTTCCTGCGTTTAGTAACTTTACTTTTGGATACGGTTAATACACTCCTGATACTATACTGTACCCTTTTTACTTATAAGTAGCGTTATCAATGCAAGGCTTTTCAAGCTTGTAAATAGAGTATTTTTATGCTACTTTTAAAAGTAAACAGAAAAAAAAAACCATTGAAAAAAGCTTATTTATTTCTTATTTTTCCCTATAATTAGAATAATTTCTAATAGATCTCTGGAAACTCTTAAAGTCCCTGCTGGAAAGACCCTATATATATCTGGTCAATAGTTAGAAAGAACTCTATATCTATAATCTATAATGATAATTATATCTAATATCTATATCTATATCTATATAGACTCTATATTCCCTCTAATTAGTACAAAGGTTACTAGATATTTCCCAGGAATAAGAGTACTTATAACACTTTACTTGTTAGTCCCTATTTAACATTATATATAGGCATTATACCATCGCACTATAATGGTAGTTCTAAAGCAGATATAAGTGTTAACTATGTATTTGTCAACGTTATAAGTCCCGCTTCCTGTGGCATAAACGACATAATGGAATAGACAACATGGTAGTAAGAAACAAATTGTTAAATAATATAAAATTATAATAACTGTTGACAAACTACCTGTAAAATTCATACTTAGTGTCATTATAGCTGCTTACAACTACATTATATGTATTAAATGTTAAATGCTTCTATCCTGCTTATTGACTGCTAAAATGGGGACTTCAAGTGAAGTGTTACTAAAATTATTTTTCAGTTCTGGTAAACATGGTTAATTAATGGCAAGTCAACCTCTTTGCTCTTTTCTGTTTTAGATGCTGAGTAGAAGCCTATACTGCTGATTCAAGAGTGTGAGAAACGTGTTTTCAAAATCCAAACTGTTTTGGCTAATTAATTTGGAGACGCTCCTGGCTGAGCAGAGAAGAGAAAAAGTTCAGGTTGACTACATTGTCTTAGACCTTGCTTTCATAGAAATTCAGTTGGAAGAGAAAGTAAAGCTGCATAAATAATTTTATAGACTCCGTATTGCTGTTGGGGGATTTTCGGCTCCGAGGAAATGTAAAATAAACATCAACCAAAAATAGGTCCATGTAATGCAAAAATATATCAGTGTTCACAATGATTAATCTCTGTGTGTAGGTTTGTAATACTCCATTTCAAAATATGTGAGAACGGTTAACCATGATTAATCTGTTATAATTCAGAAAATGTGGAAAGGCTTGACAACCGTATTTAATATTGTTATATATCTAAATTAATTAACAATGTGAATATATATATATATTTTTTACCTGAAAAATGCTTAATTATTTAAATTTACAGAGACACATGCAGAAGCAATTAGAGAAGAAGGAGAGGGCGTTTCAGGAGAAATGAAAGACACAAACAAGCAGAATAGAACAGTGGAACTGCAGAGAGGAGGTTTAGGAAATAATAATCTCAGATCAAGAATAAGCAAAGGCAAATTGTATTCGTCTCAGCCAGAATCTGTTTGTTTTGTTGCCAAATCTCGTCACCCCATTATTCTGTAAGCACTATGTGAGTTGTGTACTGTGACTGCTTTCTATAAAACACTGATGTATAGTGCATTTGATTAGCGTACAGGGTGTGTTCTCCCTCACCTCTGCGCCACGTGAAGAGTATTTTGCCACGCCACGCCTCTCCCCGTCCCAGCCGCAGAACGGACTCTGGCAAATACGCAGTCTAGCAGGAAGTTGTACCTCCTGACAACCGAATCGGTACCTGCACGACTCCGAGCGGGACCAACGATAGACCACTTCCCGCTGCAAACAAAGATAAACAATTCCTCTCCATTTCTATATATTTGCCAGTTACTACTCCCATTCCTAAAATTACAACAGTCTATCAATACATGGTGATCATAAGAAGCATATTTTGTAATAATTCATCCAAAAAAAAATTATTATTAAGTTCCCAACACACTTAATATACGTTACCGTAGTGAAAATTACAAAATTCATGCTACTTAGATACTTAAAAAACAGATTTAGTTGAGTGTGATAAATAAAATAAATCCTGTCCAAGCAAGCAAGTTGTTAAACTGCGCAATTCTATTGAATAATTTAAATTTTGGCAAGCCATTGTTTTTCATTTGCACCCATACAATAATGCACTTTGTAACATCATCATTCTGGTATACTTTACATACTATGATACATACCAGGGCCAGAGATATGACCATGCCTCTTCTATGGGCTTCGGTTTATCAACACAAACTTGCAACTCTTCTATGATATGGCATTCTCCATCTGTCTACAGCCCTGTGCCAGCACCGTCATCTCGTAAGAAAGAAACACCTAGGTTAAACGAGATTTGAAATACCTTGAGAAGCAATACAGAGTATGAAAATCCAATCCTTATTCTTCTGTTAAAGGAATGGTGTTTTTCTATTATTGTGTTTACTTGTTAACCGAAATCCCAATGAACTATACAAAACCAATAACTAGTTGGTCCGTCTCTCCCTACGATTTCTCTACCCTGCACTGTGGCTCTCAGCTCCAAGACTGATTCATTCCTACCTATGAAATGGTCCAATCTTTAAAAAACAAGCACAAATATAAGTTTTTTTCACTTTTTTTTTTGGGTATGTACTGAAATTTGTCTACATTGACTTCATGTCAACCCTAAGGAGGGTTATAATAACTTAAGAGTTTCTTAACTTTATATCTAGTGCCGATCATCAGATCAAAATTTTTATTTGGTCCACATTCAATACTATATTGCCATTTCAACATAACCTCACATCACAGTAACCACACAGGGACATAAGGAAAATAAGTGAATATATATACAGAGTGTAACATTTGGGAGGTTCTATTGGCAGAAATGGAATATAATCGACCCATATGTATGTTTTCCTTAGTGTATAAATCACCTGAAAATTAAGAATTGTTGTGTTTTTGTTACGTTAGAACAAGCTGTTTTTATCGGGCCACCATGTTGATCAGCCATGTTTCTACAGTAGCCCAGACCAGACAAACCAAATACTGGCTCTAGACAGGGTGCTTCAATCTGCAACTTCACCACTAGATCCCACTAAATCCTACACACAGGTCCTTTAAGTATTAGTTTCACCTAAATACCTGCAAAACTAATGACATTGTGATGTAATGACATATGTTTAGTACTAATTAGCAAATGTTAGCATGCTTACACCGTGAACTAAGATGATGAGCACATCATTAATATTATACCTGCAAAACATCAGCATGTTATCACTGTTGACCGTGTTAGCGTGCTGAAATTAGCATTTAGCCACACAGAACTGCTAGCATGGCTGTAGACTTGTTGGACAACAATGGAGCTCCACTGCACAGAGAATTAATAGAGGATATATCAGGCTTTTACAGCACAGGTAAAGCTTGTTAGCAGGATCTGTTCACTGTTGGTTTCGGCCTTTTAATGGGATTTGTTGACTGTTCAGTAAGTAAAACTCACCAGTTCCCAAAAACAGAATAGTGTAAATGTTCCCATCCAGTGCTGGTTCCTTGTGCACGGCTATCTTCACATAGTTGACACTCCTCTTGAACATGAGTGGGCGCACCCCGATTGGGTGCACCTGGCTGGCCATCAGCGGGTGCCTTCTGGCGAAAGTGAGGACATTGTCTGGGAGGTCTCGAGATGAGTTGATGCCCTGGGACCTGTGCAGATCTGTTATACACTGGAGAGATGAGAGACAGAAAGACAGGGAAATGATCACAGAGGAAGGAGCTGGACATTAAATACTCTAATGATGGTAGAAAGAGTGGATTTAATAAACTTACAGATCCAGGTCTTGGCTCTGGAACTTTCCCGGTGTACTCCCTCCACTTTGAGTCCTGCACCTCCATGAACGGCCCCTCGAATGCCTTCTGCACGTCTGAGAAGGCGTACTGGCAGATAGCAGATGCTTTGATATTCTTCCTGAAAGACAATCCGCCACCCCCCCCCCAACCCAAGACACATCCAGAGGACACACTCAGGATTAATGATTCAATGTTGGATAAACACTGAGAGGTTATTATCTGGGGAGCAACTGCCACCCAGATCACATTTCAAACACATCACAGATCATAAGCGGCACACGACAGACAAAAAGGTAACCAGGCTGCTGAGAACTTTTCTTTATTGTCTGAAAACTGGGGGCGTTACAGTGGTAAAGTTTTGTTTCTTACGCTCACATTTCCCTCTTGGCTCTTATCAGTTTGTCTTGAACAGACCTGTGGGAGTGGTATCACTGACAGGTGTGTGATTTTCAATCTTTATCTCCACTCTTTATTATCCACTCCTGAAGGAAATATTTGTTTTGCAGATTTTTCAACACCACACTCAGAGTGCTGAAATACCCACTCCCTGTGAGTCATAAATAAAGCAGCCCCATTTGTGGTTTTGGTAGAGCACCTGTGAAAGAAAAGATTTGTCCAAGAACATAACGACAGCATGAGCTGGGAACCAGGTAACCCTTAATCTTAAACCCTAAAGGTGAGATTAGTAATGGGGGGGATATGTCTGCGTCACATTCTTAAGTCCATTGTGTGCCCACCTCAGTCTTCAAAAGCATTCAAGTGAGAAAAATGAGACTGATGTGAAACCAGAATCTTTCTTCACAACTGGTGAGCAGCATAGCTCTGGGGCTTACTCATTCTTGCACACTTGAGCCTAACGCATGGTGACGACTACTACTCACACAGGTGTAGCTTTTTTTTTTTTAAAAGAAAACCAGCACGTAAAAAGACAAGATGAGACAGAAAGAAAAGAAACACAGAGAGGACAGCTGCTGCAGTGAATGAGCAGACAGAGATTGAATATCCACAAACGGAAGTGCACTGTAGAGTAAAAAAAAAAGAAAAAAGCAAGAGAGAAGTAGATTGTGTTACTGTCCCATTGCAATGATATCCTCTCCATCAGAATCTAAACACCCTTGGGACAGTTTTATGCAGCATGACTCTGCATATCAGCATAAACACACAGTCACATCGCTGCCAGATATTCCACTGGCAGCCATCGTCCTCTGACACTGTCAGCTCTGACTGCAGCTTGGCTGGTTCTGTTTTGATAGCAACTCACCAAGGGTTCGAACTTATGATTTTGCTCCTTATCTAATTATCTGTTCATTATTTTATTTTTACAATTAATTGTTTCGTCTATGAAATGTCAGAAAATAGGGGGGGGGAAGTGACATCTGAAAATGGTTCAACAAAAATATTCCATTTACAATGCATAGATAAAACATAAATTGCTCCTTTGAGAAAAGTAAAACCACTTCATGAACAGCCATCATGTCTGTGTTTGACTATGGATGTATTCTAACATCTTATCCCACTGAATGATTGTTCAAACTTTAAATTATGTACTGCATCAACATGTTTGTGACTATTTTTAAATGGTGTGTGTGCACTGATTGTAATACATGACTGAAATTTATTCAAATACATCAACTGTCTGTATATGTTCCTGCTGCTGCTCTCTCATGAGAAAAAGACCTACATTTCAATGGGATTACCTCCCTGAGCTGCCAGTGAGGTATTCAAACCTACAGAAATGTATTTCAGATTCAAAGGGAGATCCCAAAGTTTGCGAGCGTACCAAATTTGCCAGGCTGAAGTTTGAGGGAAATGTGTATAAAATGCTGCACAGTACAGCTGATAGAGACCATATAATTGATACTGTCAGACAGTATGGAATAAAGCCACTTAAAGGGTAAAAATGGCATAATAAAATCAGAATTTTATGTTGTCTCTTACCATTCCAGGCCGAAGACACCATAGAAAATGCTGCTTTGAGCGTCTCGACCCTGCAGGACAAACACACTGCGCAGGATATTGAGGTGCAGCTCATATTCTGGGACTGAACACACCATTCTGGCCTTGAGAAAGGTGGTCCACTTCCTCTGCAGGGTCCTCTGGCCGCCCCAGTCATTCTGCAAACAGAGGAGACAGCGGATGTATGGATGAATAGATGGATGGATGGATGTACATGAATCTACTAAGAATAAATCAAATCATAATGTAAACATAACTGTACATATAAAGTGTAGAGGAGGAAGTGAGGACTCTTATGCAAGTGGAGCTGAATGTTAGTGTTCTACCTCCGAGTGCCTACTTTAGCACATTTGCTCTAATTGCATTTCGGTAGCACTGGGAGGCGAGGCTGCAAGAAATCTCTCCCTAAAAGAGTAATTTAGCACACCTCATTTAGAAGAGAGAGGGAAAAAAAGAATAAAAAGAGATAAAGACCCTTTTCTCTTTGTTTGTCGGAATTAAAGCGCTTCATCTTTCTTCGTTTATGTGTTTTTTCGCAGACATCTGTCGTTCATCAAAATGCTCCCACCGCCTCGGCCTCCCACACAAAAAGACAAAGTAGCTTAAATCAACATAACACATAAGTATCGAAAACAAAAGTGTCTGCATTAGGAACACTTCCATCAATAACAACTACATTTTTTGGAGGAAGACGAAGACCGCAGACTCCACTGTTTCCACAGAATAAAAGCTCTAGAGAGTTGGTGTTGGCAGAGAGTTAAGATGGATGCCACTGAGAAAATAACATAAGCATTTCTTTATAGAGATGGATTCCTGGTTATTAAAATGGAAAAGACCTAAAAGGATCCACTGATAGATTACAATCTATGTCAATCAAAAGCACTGTGCGGGTCATCGCGCTGTCATGACGTAAATCTAAGAAAATAAGAGTCATGAATCCAAGCGTGGCACCATAAAGATATGCCTGTGGGGAAATTAACCCAAGACGACAGGATATAAGTGTGTTGCTGTTTGAGCCAGACATAAAATCTAAAGATACAGCAGAGAAAGGGACAAATTCTATAGCCTTTCTTTCTTTGCTGGATATATTACAAAATTGTCAGAATGGTGCTGATTTATGCTCTTTATCTTCCTGAAAAGACTTTGTTTCTATGTAATTTACACCCTTCTCAGTGAAAATAGGTCATGATTGCAAAGGAGGTAGATGCGGTTTGGCTGGGAAGTGACAAACAGAACAGGACAACTAGTTAGGCAGCTCAAAAATGGCAAGTCTTCAGTGGTTTCAGGCCAGAGGCTACTGCCAAGGCCTTCGCTCTATCTGCGGATCTGCCTACAACCAGTGTGACGTCTGGCTGCCATGGGGCTGAGCTGGGGACCAGCTCGACATCTGCATGTGCTGCTGTGGCCTAGTTCAGAGAGAGTTATTACACTCTCGACTGCTCTGACAAGTCCACAGCGCTGATGAAGAGAGAGCAGTCCAGACCTTATTTCCAGAAATTACTTATTTTGGATGCAGAGAGAATCGTGAGGAGATGAGCTGTTCGAGTACATGGGATTAAAAAAGTCCAAGAAGTATAAAATGTTCAGGAATTTTTTTCACTGCAGTATGCAAATTTGTAGTATGCAAATATCTTAATGTACTTTTGCCGATGTTAAAGAGAAATTAAACAAATGTCTTATTTGCCAGAGAGCAAGAGCATTGTAAAAATTAACAAACTACAAAACACAGAGAATGAGCACATAAATGAAGATTCCCCTCATGGTGTGACCATGGCAAAAGAGGTCAGAATAATAAAAACCCTTCAATCTAGTGGTCTATATTTCTACATTTCAACCGTCAACCGTGTGGACAAATAAATGAATATCCAGTAAAATGCTTGCATGTCAGCAAATAGACATTCAATACTTGTGAATTGTTGGTTGGATTTTAAAAGAAGTTTCAATCAGTTGTGCAGCCTATGAGAGAACAGAAAACAGTCTTCTTCCTTGACTTTTCAAGTCAGCGCTGTTTTCCAGCAGTGACACCACTTCCTCTCGCGCACCACCTGCCAAATATCACAAAGGCATTGTGGCTTTTTCCATAAAGCTGAAAGATGAAGCCAGAAATGTTATGTATTCCACGTCTCTAAAGGGGCAGTGGTGAAGACCAGCACCAGGAAGACCTCAACAAGAAGTCAAGTAACACATCTTTCGAAAAACATTTTGCTTTCTCTTTGTTCAGTTTAATTTGCGGCGACATTTCACGCCTGTAGTTTGCATTGATTGGTTTGGACAATTTGACTCACTGTGATTGAATGTTAACAGTCGATTCCTAAGTGGCTATTCAATATATAGCTATCTCATTCATTTCTTTTTTCTGTCTGAACACCATTCAGTCTTTTAGACACTTTTTGATCCCATAGAAACAGCACTTCAGCACGACACCATACTGCAATGGTAATTACACCATCACGCACGGCTACAAGAAACGAGATGGAGGAAGACAGAGAGGAGGAGAGACCTCTAGGAATGGTTGCTGGGCATGCTGTCTAGACCGGGGACGCTGATTGCAAGTGAAATGAGGTGAGAGGGAAAAAGAGGAGGAGTGGAAGAGGGCGAGATGGCAATAAAGGGAGGGAGAATGTTTGCCATTGGAGGTGGAGGTTGGTGGACTTGTAGTTTGCCTGGCAACAGTGGCACAGAAAGAACCGCCGTCAGAGAAGAAACCAAGATTAGAGACGCCCAACTGCTGGTTCATTCAGCACTGAAATTACTGTAAGAGGAGAACGGCAGCTGAGTGAGAAAAATTGAGAACAGAAATCCATTTACACTTCATTCTGTATCTGTGACATAAGCATAATATAATAATCCCACAGTTTTTGCACTTCAAACCCTGGCAACTTCTCTCCTCCCTCATTTCAACCCTTTATTTCCCCCGACCTTGCAGCCACTATAAATCTGCAAACTTTCTAAACCCAGTGAAACCATTAATATGATTGTGGTTAATAGTATTTGGGCTTGTTGCTCAATCTCTGACCTTGCAGACTCGGGCAACCCTGGACACCTTGGTCTGGCTCGGGTAGGCAATCTGCTCCTGGCTTCTCTCCGTGAAGAAGAAGTAAATCTTGTCGTCGTCACCGATAGAGCTGTTGATGCTCTCTTTCAGCAGTACAGAGCCCACAAAATCTGCCTCTGTACACACACAAACACGACACACAGACACACACACACAGGTCCAAACACAGACCTATTAGCAGGCAAGGAAGTGTCTCCTTGGAAACTAAAGATGGAGCTTTTAGTTGTGATTGAATTGCCACAGTTAAGCCAGTTAGAGCTGCAGTGCAGTGAAATTTTTGGATGTGATTTTCATTGTCCAGGTCAATCATTTTTTGTAGTAACAGCACAACATCTGATGAGACAGAAATACGCAAAATGACAATGAGGTTTGGTCTGTTTAGTAGTTTACTGTAAGTGAAACAAGACTAGTGTCAGAGTCTTTTTGCACACATTTATTTGTTACTCGATACCCCTCTTCTTAGACATGTGTTGTCATGCGTTGTATTTACCCAGAAGCCACCGGGTAGGGGCCTCCTCTGTCCTGAGGGTGGGGAAGGGGAAGTTTCTGCGCACATCTGGAGAGCTGCGAAACTCGTACTGAGAGGCCGTGAACATCTCACCGTCTGATTGGCAGATCGTAGTGTGTCAGGGGATGATAGACGGAGACAGAGAGGAATTTGGACATCAGAGTTCGATCAGTAAATGAAAGCAGTTGGTGTAGTGCAGAGTAGGCAGGCAAACTCTGACCTATCACCCAGTGTGGTTACAGTATTTCAGCTGTTTTAAATGTCTCTCCTGAGTCTTTATTTAAATTCTATTGCATTATAATGAATTAATTCAGATTTAAAGTCTTAATACAACACCCACAAATGGACACTGAAAGAGTTGGTACATTATAAAAGATTTGTGGAGTTAGGACAGTCTTCCTTGCAAAAATACATTCATATTTACTGTTGGTGTTTATCTTTATTTATACAACACCTTTCAAAATAAAGTTACAAAGTGCTTCGATGAATTCTCCAATTAAATAAAATCAGGCAAGTAAAGCAGAGAATGAAATCGAATAAAATATACTGTGATAGATTAAATAAATGAAATGGGTAAAATAAGAAATAAAACAGATATATTATCATATTAGAAAAGGAACACCAACATTTAGTGCTAAAATAAATTAAAGTTTTTTAAAAAAAGATTTAAATTTCTGCAAAACTAGTCCGAGGAATACGAGGGATTTGCATACTAAAAAGATGTTAACTTTTAGATTTACACTTGATTTTTCTAACTCATACTGTGATAAAATATGGTTCAGACATTCATTCTTCCTCAGGATGAATTGTAAAAAGTTTGGTGATCCTCTGACATTTCCACTAGCGCCATCATCACGTCAAAACTTTTGTTTGTCCAGTACTTTGGTGGTTTATGACCAAATATGCCGTCAGCCTCAGCTGTACTTTTATCTTTAGTTCTAATTAACAAATGATAGCAAGCTAACACACTTAACTAAGATGGTGAAGTCCAGTTGCCCCTCTGGACAAACCATGACCTGGATGACTGAGAATCTTCAAGACACTTTGAGCATTTAGCTGAAATCCTGCAGACTTGCTTTGACTATACCAACATAAAGCAAATTTGGGAGACATACCTACGATGAGGCCAGTGTATCCTTTTGCTGGGTCATATGGACATCTGTCTCTACCTTCCTCAAAGCCTGAAGAGAAGCTGAACCGCTCTGCATCCTTACAGAGAGAAAAGAGAGACTCAATTAATGATTTCATTTAAAATCTAGTCTAGTCATAATTGGACTGCAATTAAATCACACAGGCTCTTACTATATAAGCACAAAGAGGTCTGAAGGCATTTGTTCCACAGACGTACAGGTGAGTCTCATTGTATCGCTGCAGAAAGCGGATGTGATTGTAACACTCTGTCTGCAGAGAACGGAGAAAAACAGGTTATTTCTGGCTCCACAATAAGCAAAGCTAGAGAGATACATAGGCTAGTCGTTGCACATCATCTACGGGGGATGTTTTATGCAAATAATGAATGAATTAGTGTGACTTTTTTTTAAATGATTAGTTTCTCAGGGTTTCAGCAAAAGTGGATTAAGAGGCAATTGAAAGGATTATCCACTTTATTACTGTATTACTGTCAGACGCAATCTGCACATCACAAAGCGGAAGTGTTTCATTTATGTTCTCCAATAATAACTCAACAAATAAAGACGTTTCGAGTTTTTCACGAAGAAAGTCATGGCTGAATAATAATAAGATAGTAGAGCTGCTGCCGTGTACCTGATTGTCTCTGCCTTTGTTTAGACACTGCTTCTTCTGTTCAGGGGAAGCATCCCAATCAATCTGAAAACAATGGGGGGAAATAAGGATGACTCAGTTAGCTCAATAAATAGGGATAGAAAATAGATAAACAGAGAGATCTGTGTACAGAAAAGTGAGAGAGATAAAGAGAAAACAAGTTTATGTAGGATAAACAGGAAGTGAGAAAAGAGAAGAACAGCACACTTCAATTTCTGGCTGCGCCACTGAGTTCTGACTCTCTTTAGTAACCCTTGAATAAACGCCTGGTGCATTTAATCCGATATCCATAAAATTGGAGGAACACAAAGGGATTTGTTCAATCTGCTTAAGGCTATTATTAGTTTGTCCTCCTTTAACACGTTGGGAAAAAAAGGGGGAAACATTTGCTGTTTCTTTGCTAACAGCGGCAATTACGTGGCACTCTCTGGCTTGCAGCATCTTGACACTCACTGTGAGGTTTCCAAGTGTGGATATGTCGGAGGTGTTGAGTGCATAGAGAGCTCCTCTGCCTCCCACGTACAGCAGCCCGGCCTCCTCTTCCAGCAGCAGGGTGCTGTAGTTCTGGGAAGAGCCGGTGAAACGGGTGCTGCCCAACAGACCTGCAAATACACAACACATTATTGTATTACATGAAAAGGTTTCTTTTCTTGTAATGGCCAAAACTCCTATACTTTTGGTCTGGGGTTATGTTTTATGGTTTAGGCTAAGCTCCAAGTGTCAGCAGTTTGAGGAAAGGCCTTTCCTGTTTCAATATAACAAAGCCAGGTTCAACTGTTCGTTAAACATGTAGCTCTGTTTATGTATTGTGATTGTGAGCAATGCTGCAATTGATCAGGTATGTAATTCACTTGATTAACCAAAAACAATCATTCTCATCTGGTTATTTTATCTGTAAATAGTTTTTCTATATAATTTTCCAGGTTAATTGACTACATTATGATAGACTATATGGCCAGAAGTATGTGGACAAGATGTGCTTTGGATGTAGGGCATTTTTGGAGCTTGACCCATACTAGGAACTAGAAGTCATCTCATGATTTTTTGGTCTCTCCTTCATGGGTTTTCATGTTTTTTTGTTTTTTTAAATCTGTATCTGCCAGGATTAAGAGTTCTTTAAATCTGATTAGTAAGCAATCACTCAAGATTCTTGTATGGCTGCTTGTGTTTAGAAAATGTTAAAACATTGATATGATATATATATGAATGAATGGTCTTTCTAGATCTTTACATTCCTCAAGCTAATAGTACTAAAAAAGGTGCACTTTTGGTATGATATTAAATTATATCATCATATTTGCACCCAGCAATGTACCCAGAATGGAATATTTTCACATAGCTCTACGGAGGGCCACCTATTAACAGCTCTACATTCTCTGCTTGCAGACTGTAAGAATAGTTTGATATAAAAAGCATCTATCTAGATTTCACACTCTTCGACAAGTCCACACAACCCAAACATGCTTAGCGTGACTGCATGAGGGTAAGACTCGACAACAGATCTGGGAGATGGGGGGTCGCTGGAGTGATTGCTGAGAGGGCTGTCGGGAAGATGGGGATGGGGGCACAGGGGAGGCAAAATTTCAGGGCATTCAGCAGGAATCATGCCCCAGTAATGCCAAATCACATCAGCAGCATTGCCACAGAGTCATCACTGCTGTGTGTGTGTGTGCGTGTGTGTGTGTGTGTGTGTGTGTTTGCGTGTATGAGAATGAGGGTGATGGAGGTAAGTGGGACAATTTAGGGTTAGTGTCTGTCACTAAATATTATGTTACTAAAGTAAAGTTAGATGTTTATTAGTTGTTGATCTTTTGTCCTTGGTGAAGACATACAGATTATTTATCCATCACAACATAATATGCCTGGTGCACTCAACTAAATATTTGAACACACTCCGTACCACCTCAGAAATGAGGGCAGGTTGCTCTGCTGCTGTGAGGCAATAAAAAGGAGGGCATTGTTTTTTTCTGTGCATATGGAAGATCTCCTGCAGAAGTAGGTTTACAGAGCTCTGCACAAAAAGTTGGACACAGGTGAAGATTAATGTCTGATTAAATAAATCTGACAAAGCGAAGATGAAAAGCACACATGCAGAAAGAACAGCTGTCATCAGAGAGCAACAGAATAGGCGAAAGTATCGACAGTGTTACACTGAGGAATATGAGTCAGCAGAGAGCAGATGGGCATATTAATCGCCACACATCCTCTCTACCTCCCTCTTCTTTTCATTCCGTTGTGAACTCATGCCAGCATGTTCAAGCACCCAGTAATAAGACAACCTATATTTGTCCCCCCACCCCACCACCAATCAATTTATTGTGGTGTGAGGGCTTGCACGCTTGTCGTGGTTAATCTGTTCTCCTGTTCATTATACGTGCAGCTGGAAGGGGCCAGAGGATCACAGATGATTAACCAGCAATGCAAGCTGAAGTATTATGTCATTTTATTTTATATTCCACGGTTCATAAACGTCACTTTAACGTATTGAATTAGATCAGGGTCAGTAGCAATTTTAGTGCAACTTCAACACCAAATGCTAGGCCATAAACTCATAACCACTTTTAAAATGATGTGATTAATATCAATGAGGGTAGAACAAATATTAGAAGAACCTCCCCGTACAATTCAACAGCCCCAAAACACATTATATGATTCAGTACCCAAGACTAGCAAACTGATTATGTAAAATTGTAGAGTTCCCATTTAAATCAGGAACTCTCAAAACAAAGAATATCTTAACAGGCACGCTATCGCAGGAGTTTTGTCCTTTCAGCCATAGCACTGCTTAACAAAACACTGTCATGTGTAAATACTATGTGAATGCAATGTATGTATAAATGTGCTGTTTCTTGAGGCACATTTATAGAGACAGTGGCAACATTTTCTTCTGCTAAGGACAATAAAAAATCTATATATCTATCTTAACTTTACTCTATCTTAAGGATCTGATAAAGCATTCGATGCCAGCTTTCAGTATTTGACAGTTCATTAGTAGGTACTGGCTGACACATTTCAGTTGGTACCAAAAAAGGACTGAGTTGCAGTATCCAACTGTACCCATCCACAGAAAAAAAGGATTGGATGATGAGTGAAAAATACACATATCTATGCATTTTTTACCATACATTCAAGATCTAGTATAGCCAGGGTTTATGCTTACGGTTTCGTAAGACACATCCAGTACAGTTTGAGATAAAACTGTGGCTCAGTGGTTAGCACTGTCGCCTCACAGCAGGAAGGTCCTGGGATCCATTCTTGGCTGGGGCTGGGGCAGGGCCTTTCTATGTGGAGTTTGCATGTTTCCCCATGTTTGCGTGGGTTTTCTTCCAGGTGCTCCACTTTCCCCTACCATCAAAAAACCTGTATGTTAAGGTTAATTCTTCTTCTGAGTCAGTGCCATTGACCAAGGCACTGGCTCAGATTGCAGAGAATGGATTTCCCTAAAGGGATCAATGAAGGATAACTTAATTTAACTTAAAAATGACAGAAATTTCTGTTGACAGTTGGGTTTAAGTCTGAAAAAGCTGTCAAACCAGTTAAAGGCCCACCCAAAATGAAACCGGAATCCATGTTTATGCAAAACAAAGACACAAGAAGACAAACACACACATTCTCAAAGGCTTTGTCTCACCTCCACTATCTCAACTCCAGAATTACTAATGCTTTTACTGCGAGAACTCACAATGATGACAATGAGGATGACAGCAGGACTTCCAGCTCTGGTGATCTTGCGTCATACAACACAATGAAAACAGTTTAGAGTTTCCCCATCGTCACATGACGGGCTGCTTGTCTAACTGTCACATGGTCACACTGGGTGATGACCATGGACCCTCCAGGCAGAGACTGAGTCAGACTGCAGTCTCTTTTACTGCCCATCTTCCTCCCTGCCAACCTTTTCTTACTGGTTTATCACTGGCAGCCAGACAACCACTGGAACCCTCTCACTGGACAATAATCAGGTTATTACCATATCAGGTCGGTCATGCCTGTCAGACTGATTATATGCTACACATATCGCTCCTAGTAGAGGAAAACCCTACACAAGAGCTACAAAAATTCAATTCCAGCAAACTAAACTTTCCAAGAACTGTCACTGCTGCCTCCCACAGTGGGACTGGTAGCTAAAAACTTATGTAACTCCTGTAAATGAAATCCAGAGATAAGACCGTGTGACTGTCACCTATTATTTCTCATAACCAGTCAGCCTCAGATTTGAGTGAGCAATGAGCAGCTCCTCCAACACAGCCAAAGGTCAGGACACGCCGGGGGAGGGATTCATCTGAAGGATGGGGGGCTCTGTCAGGAGTCACGCAGCAGGACACTCTCTCTACTACACACAGGTACACACACATAAAAGCCACACACAATACTGAATCTATACAGAGCTCATTTGATAAGCAATAAAGAAGAGGAGATGACAGACAGAAACCAAATGCACACACTCACAAACATAATCCTCGATCACAAGAACATTGCATATTCTCCGAGATCACGTTTAAAGAATGAGTTATGCAAACACAATGGCAGCTCAAGGCAATGTAAAGGGCCCACTACTTGTGAGTCATCCAAGAGTGAGCAAAAGCCTTGGTTTCTATCTTATAAAAATAGTGTCTGCATGATATAACAAGCACAGTGCTGATGAGAAGGACTATGGTGACGTACAAAATGTCCCTGGCCCCAAGGCGGCAGAGACAGAGCGACCTTGGTCTCAGACCCGGCATGGTTGGACGCTGTGTTGTTTTATGCAGGCAACACTGACTAGTTGGCATATTTTTAAACACCTGACGCCGCCCAATGATAAAAACCAATGCTCACTTTAGACTGGAAATCAATGTGCTGCAATCATAGCGGTGCTCTCAAATCAATCTCTCTGTAAGTGAAGAAATAATAAAATAAACTGGGTTTTTTTATCTGAATGTCCACTCACTACACACTACAGCTTCTACTTGTGTAGAAAGTACAAATATGCAACCACATAAAAGCTTTTATAAGAAATCACTTAGACATACTACAAGGAGTTTTTAACCAAGTTATAATACTGCCTCAATTTAATACTAATGCATCTATATGACCTATATATAAACACACCACCAGCAAGAAGATTGGCTATTTTCATATTGTTATTAGTAATTCCAAATCTGTGTGACGTGACTCAAAAATGACAATATACAATTTGAACAGTTCAGACTGTTCTTATCAACATTAGCACGACCATGAAAACTGGCAACAGACCGATGTTGATGTTGACCTACTCTACCCCGACACCATTGTTTAGTATCCAAAAACAAACACACAAACACACACACACACACACACACACACACACGCACACTGTACCTTGTCCTTTGTTGCAAAAATCAATAAAGAAAGTCAACAGAGCGCTGAGGTGTGCCAGAAGCCTCTCAGCCTGATCGCTGGTTTCTATTTACTGTTGTCATCCTGTATACACGTGTGTGTGTGTGTGTGCATGTGTGTGTTTGGGTATGTCAAAGCAGACCTGTTTGTGTGAATGTTCAGAGTACATCGTTCAATGATGGGAAGAGGTCAAAACAAGTGCCCCTCAGAAACATCTGTCAGGTTTTCCACTGGGTACACACAC